TATGGCGTCATCTTATATCATTTTTACAATGCAGATAATTGGCATTAGGTCTGATTAAAAAAGTGATTTTGTGCAGCTATATCTCTTAGCTGTCCATCGTGTCCAATGACGACGCTTGCTCCGGAGAGTGGGGGGAAGGGGGAAACAATGGTTTTGGCGTTGGTGCCACTTCATATGACTGTGGAGGTTGATTCGGGAACCACACACTCGCTCGCCGATAGAGCCGACATGTCCTGATGTTAGGACGGTGCCAGCCACCCTTTGGTACCGTTTGGCGCGTCTTTCTGTTCTTTCCTGAAGAAAAATGCTATTAATTTTTCCGGTTGCCTGGGTACAGATGCATTTCCAGATTTGTCTACTAAGTGCTAGTGATTCAAGTTGGCTTGGGTTGATGTTACAGCGCTTCAGAAGTTCCTTAGTATAGTCCTTATAGCGCGTGCACACTCACACACACACACACACACACACATATGAGATGTATACCAGAGTTTGTGTGTATATAAACTTATCTTTGACTCATATTTACTGTACATGTATTACTCACAGGAGACAGTGGTTAGCCACTTAAGCACTACTATTGCTTATTCCATTTCACTATGTGGTTAGATAGTGAAGAGGAGCATTAAAATAGTGTTCAGCTGACCACATTAGTAGCAGCAACCACATGCAGCCATTTCTTCAAACACTATAATGTTGAGGAGGTGTTAAGGTCAATCTGGTTCTTTTAGCTTTACGGCAGTAATCAAGATGGTGCATCGGTCAGAATGCAGGAAATGATGAGGAGACAAAGGCTTTCACTGAGTTCTGTACTGCTTTCCAGACGATGCTCTGAGTTCCAACAACAGCAGTAGTTTTGTAATATTATTGGTCTTAGTCTGCAATAACAAATAAACGTCTTTAACCATTCATATCTCAACAGCAAATCTACATTACTGCTAAGTATGAATACAGAAATATCTTAAAGGTAAATAAATATTTCCAGCCTCATTCATCACGTAGCTACTTTCGTTAATAGAAATAATAGCCTGGAGATACATACAGTAAACTGCCATTCAGATAGAGAAAACGAACTTCACTGATTCTTAACTGCAATTATAGCTCGGTTTTGTTATTTTTATTTTTGTTTATTTTGTTATTTTTCCTTACTGCAATATGGCACACAATTGATATTTTCCTTTGTATTTTTTTGCAGTATATGTATGTGTGCGTGAACAGTAGCTACGTGCATTTAAATGAACACGATGTAAAGGTAAAATGCAACATGAACTTACTTTTCGGCATTGACTCAAACTCCAATATCAGGTAATTAAGTAATTAACTACATTTGAGGGGCTATAGCTTAGCTATACTCACTATAGGCAGGCAAGAAAAAAAAAGTCAGAGAGACTAGACAGAAAACACATCAGTTCGCCCGCGAACAACACGAACATAAAGTCCCAGCCTTTTATACGCTATAAAGTCAAAGTTCTGAGAAATGAATTTTTTCCCTCTTACTTGGGAATGACTCGGTTAATTTGCATTGCCAATGTAAGGTAATTTCTGGGTGGGATTAGGCCGGGTGGCCTCTTAAGTGCACAAACATGAATGTTTCTATAATTAGTGTGATTTATAACCTGTACAATGCATATCTCGGTTTATGCAAGGTTTTTTAAATCTGATTTTTACTGTTCGTATGAACATCGAGTTTTTGCAAGGACAATTCCTCTTCCATAAGAATGTGCAAACGTTTTTTCTATAAATAAATCCCTTAGGTAGGTAGGTAGGTAGGTAGGTAAGTAGAGCTTTATTGTAACACAGTTTATTACCCTTGCATAAAGATGGCCGGGAGCATACTTCAAATCAGCCAATCATGTTGAGGAATTTTTGAGTGGCACTTGGTGTGGCCAGTGTCACGCTGGCCACCCCTCTGATTTCACACTGCTGTTTTCATGCCAGCAATGGGCACGGAGCTCAATGTCCTGATGGCAGCCTGCCCAGTGGAACCGCTGTTACTGTAGTGTCTTGTGGAGTGTCCAACTCCAGGGGGCCCATGTGCAGGTGAGGATGCTCTTCCGCAGAAGACCTGGCCCAGGACTGTACCCACCCATAGACTACAGAGGAGGCCATCGCACTCCACCAAGCTGACTCACTGAGAACAACAGGAATTCATCGTGGGACCAGAAGGGGTGACCTCGGTCCCTGCCGGAGCCAAGCCAACAGTGCTCTGCCCCCCCCCCCCCCCCCCCCACAGCCAAATGTAACACTGTGGTTGTTTCCTACCATTTATTGTCCTGGGCTATGTGTCCAGCTGGGCCCCAAAGATTTCCCAGGGGTCGTGCCCTTGTACTTGGGGCAGAAATCAACCAGGGCTGGTGAAGGGGCTGCTGGCTGGCTGTTTCCTTGGGCCAGCACAGCCGACTGGGCCCATTGCTGTGGAAAGCCTGTCGCCACAATCAAGAAGCGCTCTTGTTTAAAAATAGGCTATGGGGATGAAGTTAAATATCACACTAGTCATTCTAAGAGGAAGTTTGTTCAGGCCACAGTAAAATTTGCTTTTCCTTTAATTACAGTTAAATGATATTGTAACAAGGATTCTCAGTGTCAGCACCTAAATGTCTCAATGTTGTACCTGAACATGCCCACAGTTCAGGCAAACCCAAATCCCTTTAGTGACAATGCCATTAAAGTCCAATTTCGAGCAATGAACATTTTTTCAAATTTGTTTGGCTGTAAGTGCAATTCCCATGCGGTTTTAGTCAGGACACATCGAGCCATAAATCTTCATTTGCAGATGCTGCAGATTTTTATTAACACTTCAGGCTCCTTATGTGGGGGACAGTAACGCACATTCATTTGTTATTGTCAAATTTTTATTTTGTGTTTAACTTAAGTGAGAAACAAAATGGTCTTCCTGGCGTCCAATGTGCAAATTAGCTGGGAAATACAAAGTATATGAGAAATACTGATGATACTGAAGTAAGGTACTGTCACAGACGGTGCTTAGGACTCAAATTCAGACCAAGGAGATAGAATTGAAGAGAAGCTCCTTAATTAAAATCGGCAAGCAAATTTTCAAGGTCAAAATCCCAAAAAATCAGACATCCAAAAAAAAACAAGCATAAGGTCACAATCAGAGAATAACAAGCAGAAACCAAATGCTTGAAAGTACAAAAGACCACAACAACCTCACTGCAAGGTAAACAGATGGTGGAGTTTAAATATGGTGAGAGGGCTGGTGAGGAGGAAAGCCTGGAGCGGATCCAGAGCTGATGGGAAACCCTGAACTGGATCTTAAATGTGCTGGATCAGGAATCAACTGGGGGCAGATGTCCTAGGTACTTCCACAGAGCTGTACCTCCAAGTTTATTAAAGTAATGTATAAAATGTATTAGATAAGATGAATAAGAGAAACGACCAAGGGGTCTTGAAGAACAGAGGTTATGCTGGTGCTGGCATGGCTGTCTCAGCAAATGTTTCATCACCTGGTTGCATTTATGGCAAATGTCAGTCAGTTTAAATGATCTGTGAAGAACTATGCTGAAGGAAGTGTGGTCTGGTTGCAGTACATAAACTACACCAAAAATGTACTTTTCTGCAGAAATCTGAAAGAAGAGTGACTAGGATAATGAAATGTGTCATTGTGTCATCAAATGAGTCATCAAATTTGCCTTTGTTATGGTGTGTATGGTGACGAGTCTGGCTTGTTTACAGTGTGGAGTTTAACTACACTTGACTCTTATGGACAAATCTAAACAGGGACAGTGTCTTTCCACCTCTGTCAATGAAATGCCAAATTATGGGATTTCTCGTGAAAGAATATCATTTATACCAGGGGTGCCCAACTCCAGTCCTGGGGGGCCAGATCCCAGCACATGTTTGGTTTTCCCCTCATTTAACACACCTGATTCAACTCCTTGTGCTAATTATACCACACAGCTCTTGAGCTGAATCATTTATGGTGGAACAAGGAAAGAACTTAAGCTACACAGGGCTGCGGCCCTTCAGGACTGGAGTTGGGCAGCCCTGATTTAGACATATGTACAATGTATAGCAAAGAAACCATGAAGCTGTTTTGTACTTGCCGGTGACCCAAAGCGCTACTAAAGGAACTTTTTGGCCGACTCTAAGTAGCTGAGGGAGTTGGGCTGGTGGAAAAAAAACATTCTGAAATCAAATCAATTTGGCTTAACATACCTCTCATGTTGCCTTTTATCCTCTTCCACCACTTGTTTTCATTCATTGCATGTTTTAATTCCATCCATTTTCTGTAATTACTTATATTATTTAGGGGCATGGGGAAGGAGGTGGGTGAGTGTCTGCAGACTAACGCAATTACTAGGGGCTCAAGGCAGAAACAACCCAGGATTGCACACCAACCCATCACAGGAAGACCTGGAAGACACCCAATGTCAACACAGGAGGAAACATGCAAACTCCACACACAAGGAGCCTTGGCAGAGACTCAAACACTGGTCCCACAGGTGTAAGGCAACTGTGCTAACCACTGCACCACCCATTTTTAAATTGTTCACTGTTATTAATTTAAAATAAAAAATATTATGATGTATTTTATGTTTATAATAATATTATGGTTATGCATATGTCTTTATTTTTAGACATTTTATCTGGTGGTTTTCGTTTCCCATTAACTGCAACTTTTTTTCACTGTGCAAAACAGCGCCCTGGCTCACTTGCAACTAGACGCCAACATGCGCACCAATTAGCTCACATCATCTAGAAATGAGGCAATTCTCTGTCCTCACTTATTTTACTTTAAAAAATATTAACCGTTCATGTGTTCGGAGGAACACGGTGAAATTCAGGGTAAGGGACTGATGCATGGGGAGATAACACATATAGCAGTGCAATACAAGATAGAATAATGCAGTTTAAGAATAAGTAGATGTAACTGATCTTCATCTACACATTGGTAACCTAGAAACTGCGCATGGGCGACCGGAGGTGCACAGTCACGCATGCCTGCAAGACCCCTTGAGCGAGCACGGCCGCGCGTCCCTGCGCGTGCCCCGTGAGCGCGCACGTCGCTGTCAGATCCGCGGTAGGAAATGCGGATGGTGAGCGTATGAATGTGTCAGCTGCAGTTAAGCGAGAGAAACCGAGTGATCCGAGGACGGCCGGACGAAGCCCGAGCGGACAAATGAAGAGGATCCGTCGGATTTCGTGAATAGTAAATATGGACTAGTTAGCAGCATCGATGCTTTGTGGAAATCGTTAAAGCTGGGCTGTTTAGGGGAGAGTCCCGTCGTTCTCGTCTCATCCCGTTCATCATAATTTCACCTCTGCTCTCCGGTCATTGGGTGTCTTTCGCCCGGCCGGCAGGAGGGGTAAAGGCTACCGGATCTGTGGAGGCGGGGGTGGGCCCTTTTGGGCACCCCGTCGGACGCAGAGCCCTGGACACCACAGCCGAGAGTAAGTACAACCCCGTGGGGACCGTTAGGAGAGGCCGCGGATGGAGGAGGCCTAGCGGTTCGAATAGGGCTCGCGGATGAAGCCCGCCAGGCTGCAGTGCGAAACTGAGTTTAACGTCGTAAGACTGGATGCGAAACGGGCGTTGGTTAGTTAATGATCCAGCTACCCGGCCTCGATGCATGGCGCCATGACGGCAGTGACCCAGCGGTATGAGGAAGATCACGCCGGGCTCTGGCTGTCCTGTGCTGGAGTGGGGTGTCTGATGCTAGTGATGGGATCTAGACAGTGGGTCGGTGGGGCGGGGATGGGCATCTCCAGCACCCTACATCCCTACATTAGCAGCATGAACCTGTGCCAGGTGGTTGTGAGACAAACGGACTGCACTGGAGTCCAGCGGCCAGTCGGACGTGTGAAGCGGCTTAAATGCACGGGCCTGGCTGGGACCTCCGGCTGATTCACACTACCTGCGGAGTTTATATGATTGCACGCTACTCCTCCACAGCCTGATCACACGGCGGGTGGAGGGTGGGTGGAGCAGCAGATCGCTTTTAAAGCTACTTCCTCAGTGTTCAGGGCCGGCCTGACCACGGGCTCTATTTATAATGTAGGGAAGTACGCAGCACGCCGAGCTATTAGCATGGATGGAAATTGTATTAATACATTTTTGCAAGCGTGAGTAATCTTCAGCGTTTGAAGGATTTAAAAGAGGAGGAGGAGCTCCGGAAAGATGAATCGTGGCGTAGGGATCTTAAGATTCCGGAAGTTTAATCAAAAACACACCATGTGAAGACCAGTAAAGGGTTCCTTATAGGATGGAGACATTGCTCACGTTAAATTGAAGCTTATCGCTTCTCATTTGACTGATCATCACGTGTGGCTGCATGACTCGCAATTACTTTTTTTCTGAATATCCTAACTGAATGACAACAGGTGTGTGTTGTGTCGGCTTTATATTTTTATTAAACTTTGTGCTTGCAGAGCTGTTGCTATATTTTAATGTGTAAATACTTAACATCTGAAGCAGGGCTGGATTAGGATTAAAAATCGGCCCTTGTCCTCGGGGTCTTCACGACCTGCTGGACCACATACCCAAAATTCCCAGTCTACCAGATGGCTAGTCCTACCCTGACTTAGAGATCTTTGGCACATTGTCCAGAATTTCTTACTGGGGCTTTAGTGCCTGCAGATATTTGCATTTCCATTGGTATGTGGCTACATATAACATTGAAATAAATCAACAAGAAATCAAGAGGCCAAAAGGGGACATGTTAAGCCCTAAACTGGTTTCTCTAGGGGAAATGAAAGGTTTGGGGCCCTATTTAAGTCTGGTCTCCCTGCCTAACCCAGGCAAGCCAGGGCTGTACAATCCAACAATACCTGGGGGTGAGGATGTAACTTTTTGGATAAAGATGCACATCAGTTAGTCTTTGAAGGAATCCTAGTCTTTAGTCCTTGTCTACATATCATTCTGTGCTCTTACATTAAAGACACTCTCTGTCCCCCCAGGCAGCTAGAAGAGGTCATGGCTGAGATTTCAGCCCTCACTCCATCCCCTCCAGGCCTGGGTGATACCCACATCCCCCAGCCCCTGCCGAACAGCTCTGAGCCTCATCCTCACCCTGTGAGCCCAAAGGACCTTTCCCCGCAAACCCCCAAATCTGCCCTCTATGGGGACCCTGCCGTGAAGAGCACCACATGGAGAGGGGCAAAAGAGCCCGCCCGGGATGGTAAAGCCCCCCCCCCAGCTCCTCCCAAGCCCCCCCCACGGTCATCCAGAGGGGTGGGAGCGGGCACAGAGGTGCCCTCCTGCGATGTGCGGCCCTTGAGCTCAGAGACGCAGCCCTCTGATTGTGACCCCGCCCCTAGCGTCAGTTCCTGCAGTGATGTCACCCTGGCCGCCGCCCAGCCCCTGAGCACCACCCCCACCACCAGCAGCGACTCCCATCTTCCTGCAGTTACAGTGCCCGCTGCGCACACTCCCCCGCTAGGGAACACCTCCCCAAGGCAGCTGCCTCCCCAGACCCAGTCCCCGAGCACCTCCCATTGCTCCCCCATCCCCATCGTCCAGGAGCCTCAGGCCGCCTTCTTCCCAACCACCCCCCTCCGCCAGCCCGCCCCCGACTCCCTCAGCTACTTGGAGTCGGCCAGCCTGATGTCGGGCACTATGGAGTCACTGTCAGGCATTGGGGACGACACCAGCTCCCTGGGCTCTGACTCGGAGGTCAACGGTATGGTGATGCGCCGCACGGACAAGTACGGCTTCCTAGGTGGAAATCAGTACACCGAGACTGGGTGAGCGCTGGTACCTGGGGCCCCGCATGCCCCCCCCCGATGTATTGCACCTGGTGTTCATGTGCTCTCCTCCCTTAGCTGCCAGCTCTCCTGTTTGTGCCTTGCTTAATGCCATGATTCCATCAGCAAACAGGGATAATGTCCCGCAGTGAGTACACTGCTGGGGTACGAACTAAAAAACACATGACACAGCCTGAAATCAGCTGCCGGAAATGTGGTACGGGGGTTCCCTGACTGTGCAGCTTCCACGCTTCTCTGCAGATACAGATTCTGGGTCTAGCTGAGCTTCCTAAATCCACCGTAACGCGGCTCACTCCCAACCAGTGGACGAGGTCCTCATTTTAATCATCCTGGTTTAAAACAAAATCCTAGTTTGCGATCCATGACCCTCATTGTAAAGTAGCCCAGACTGGTGTAAGATCCCTGGTTCCTGCCGGCGGTGTGGCACGGTGGTCTCACTCCCACCTGTCCCGGCCGCTGGGACTTCCTGTCTCTCTCCTTCCCTCGCTTTCCTTCTGCGTGTCCTTGCTCCTCCCACGGCCCGCTTCCCTCTGAGTCACGGGGTGCTGAGGGTGATGAGTGACTCATCGCCCTGCCTGTCTGAACTTTCAGCAGGACAGCAGTTAGCCGTAGCTTCGCGGTCCTCCTCCTACATGCTACATGTTAATGCTGATGCTGTATTGGAGCCGTGTGTAACTTTCTCTCTCCCCCCCGGTGTCAGTGAGAGGGATGTCAGTGTGGACGTGGCCAGGCAGAGGGAGATGAAATGGTTAGAGATGTTTGCCAACTGGGACAAGTGGGTCTCGCGACGTTTCCAGAAGGTACCTCCTCCCACGTGTCTGTTGTCACGGCTGCGGTCCCACATCAGGCAGTCTGTGTCCTGTCTCTTTCCCTCCTTGTGATGCATCTTTGTCTGTGTCCCCTCTCTCTCTCTCTCTCTCTCTCTCTTTCTCCCTTTGATCCTCCTACCCTCCCCATGACCCGCACCCCCTGTCCAGGTGAAGTTACGCTGTCGGAAGGGGGTTCCCTCGTCACTCAGAGCCAGGGCCTGGCAGCTGCTGTCCAACAGCCAGGAGCTGCTGGAGACCAACTCCGGGAAGTTTGAGGTACGCCCCCTATGACAATCCCCCCTACACAGTCCATGCCTCTGGTTGCCTGCACCTGCCATTGGGCTCGGAGTGTTACACGCGACCAGCAGAAGCTGCACCATCCCATAGCCCCTGCTAGATGGATTTGCAGCAGATGCTAGCAGCCATAATCTTCTTATTTCCATCCCCTAATCTGGGCCGTCTGCCTCACCATCAGGTCACACAGCCCCGCCCCCTGCCCCCCCGCCCCCGTCTGTCACTGACTCAGACTGACGTGTTGGCTGGCTGCCATTCTCCGTACTGTAGGTCAACCCTGACATGCCCCCCCCCCCACCACCACATTTATCCCCCTTGGGTCAGTGCTCCCCCATCATCCTCTGCACATTCCCCAAGCCCCACCCCCAGCATCTTCCTGGCCCCGCCCAGGATCTGTGTGCTGCCCCCCACACGACACCCGCACCTCTCCTAAGGGTCCTTGTCAGGGACGGAATGCCGGACGTCTGCTGTCCTTTGCCTGCTGTGTAACCCCCAGCCCCGCCACTCTCCTTCTGACTCACAGGAGCTCGAGAGGGAACCAGGAGACCCAAAATGGCTGGATATCATAGAGAAGGACCTGCACAGACAGTTCCCCTTTCATGAGATGTTTGCTGCTCGAGGTGGACATGGGTAATTAATCAGCAAAGCCCTATGTGTGTCTATGTGTCTCCGTGCGTGTGCGCATGTCTGCATGTGAGAGTCTGTGCCTGGGTCAGTGTGTGCGTCTGTCACCGTGTGTCTGTCTGCGCATGTCTGTGTCTCTGTGTCCACGTCTGTTTGTCTGTGTATCCCTCTCTGTAGTTTCACGTTTGCTCCTTCTGTCTGTCAGACTTAGTGAGTGTGTCGGTGCCCCGCTCTGCCCCTCGCGTCGGCGTGCGTCGGTGCCCCGCTCTCTCCCGCATGATGGTGTACGTCGCATGTGCCCTACACTTTTCTGAACTGCCCCTACTTTTGCTCCGCAGGCAGCAGGACCTGTACCGCATCTTGAAGGCCTACACGGTGTACCGGCCGGACGAAGGTTACTGCCAGGCACAGGCCCCAGTGGCCGCTGTGCTGCTCATGCACATGCCTGCGGAGGTACGGGGTACCCGGCGTGACCCTTCGGCTCACAGTAATGCAGTGTTTCTCAGAGCGGTCCTCGGGGACCCCGAGGCAGTCCATGTACTGGGGGCTGGGAGGGACCAAACATGTGGACCATCTTGGAGTCTCCATGGCCTGGGTTGTGATACACTGCAGTAGCAGCAGTGATGCCACTCACTCATCATGTAGAATCATAACTAGCAGGAAGGTGTGTTTGTATTCAGCACTGTGCCCCCTTTTGTTTCCCACAGCAAGCTTTCTGGTGTCTGGTACAGATCTGTGAGAAGTACCTTCCCGGGTACTACAGCGCCGGCTTGGTGGGTACACGCACGCACGCACACACACACACACACACACACACACACACACGCATGCCTGCCACGTTAATCCCACTCACCTGTAACAGGCAGAACCCCTGTTTTTGTCCCGATGGGTCTCTGAATGTCCGTTTTGTCTCAAGCTGAACAGTCTGTCCGTTGTTTTCATGGGGCGCCTAAAACCGGACGTTCCCATCACTGGGACAAAGCAGGCCAGTGTCTCCCATCCAGCAGAGAATGCAGCGTTTCAGAGCTCCTGAAAGCTCTCAGAACAAGTTGGGGGTCTTTGTGCGAAGATGCCTAACGTCACGAGGCGGCTAAGACGTGCCGCTGTGTGAGCCTCTCTCTCTCTGCTGACCCTACACTACCACCCCCCCCCAATCCCAGGAAGCGATCCAGCTGGATGGGGAGATCTTCTTCTCCCTGCTTCGCCGTGTCTGTCCCATGGCCTACCGCCACCTGAAGAAGTTCAAGATTGACCCCATCCTCTACATGACCGAGTGGTTCATGTGCATCTTCTCGCGGACCCTCCCCTGGTCCTGCGTGCTGCGTGTCTGGGACATGTTCTTCTGCGAAGGTCTGCATAAGGCGCTTCCTTATTTTGTTATTTAATCATGCACAGTCCTCCAGGCCATGGGGGGGCACTGTGCTAAGGCAGAAAGTGACAAAACAGCCACTAATCCAGTTTATGACCCTTTCTTTCTCTTTTAACCTGTTATCTACCTCCATATTAGTAAGGTAAACCATCTCTTCTGTTTTAGAAAGAGAGGAGGGCACTCCCCAGCCTGAAATGGCATTCTGTAATAACACAATGGGGACACTCCCAGATTTTTTTCCTTGAGGACTGGGAGCGGCGAACTTGATGGGATGCCCGTCTCCTATGCAGGTGTGAAGATCGTTTTCCGCGTGGGCCTGGTGCTGCTCAAGCAGATGCTGGGCTCGGTAGACAAGCTGCGAGAGGTGCAGGGCATGTATGAGACCATGGATCGTCTCCGCAACATCCCGCCGGAGAGCGTGCGCGAAGACCTGCTGGTGCACGAGGTGCGTCTACTCGCCTGTACCTCCACCTGCTTGCCCCAACCCCACCCCACTCCCCTCAGTGCTGACCCCCCCCCAACCCCGCCCACAGGTGATCACGATGCCCGTGTCTGAGGCCCTGATCGAGCGCGAGAGCAGCATTCAGGTGCGGAAGTGGCGTGAATCGCGGGGCGAGCTGAGCCACCAGCCACGCCGCCGCCTGCATGGCACCCGCGCCATCCACGAGCTCAAGATGCGTGCCGCCGCCATCAGCTCCGGGGGCAGCTTCTCCTACCTGCCCGGCTCCGCCCCCCTGCCAGGGCCCCTGCGCGCCTCATCCAGCCTGCTCTCCCTCCAGGGCTTCCGTAAGCCCAAGCCTACCTTTCGGCCGCCCATCAAGAAAGGCGCCTTTGTCGGCTTCACTGCACTGGAACCGGAGCAGTACAAGTCCTTCCAAAGCCCCCCCTTCCAGGCCCAGCCGCTGCCCCCGCAGGCACCATCCTCCCCGGGCTCCACCGTCAGCGCTTTGGCGGGCTCCACCCTCCCGGCTGGCCTGAAGTCGGTCCCCACAGCTGAGGAGGACCCGGTCGTGGCCGAAAAGGGCGCCACCCCTCCCCAAACCCTGATGGCCTCCCCCAGGGTTGTCTCTGAGCACATCACCCCCACCCTTCCGTCCCCCGCTGCCAACAATGTCCCGCTCCCGCTGGTCGTGGACGGGGGCAAGTCGGGCGCCTCCAGCGAGGTGACAGCAGGGGGTGCTGGCGAGGAGGAGGGGAAGAAGAAGAAGAAGGGGAAAGAGGAGAAAAAGAAGGAAAAGGAAGAGGAGAAGCAGAGAGTGAAGGAGAAGAAGGAGAGGGAGAGGCAGGAGAAAGAGAAGGAGAGGCAGGAGAAAGAGAAGGAGAGGCAGGAGAAGGAGCGACAGAAGAAGAAGAAGGAGAGAGGAGGGAAGAAAAAAGAAAAAGGAGGGGGCAAGGAGGAAGAATAGAGGGTGGAGGGAGAGGCAGGAAAAGGAAGGGGAGAGAGGGAGTGTAAGAGCAGGTATGCCAAGAGGTCTGGCCTGGACGAGTAGCTGAAAGGTCCTGGGGCGCAGGAGTTGGGGGAGGAAGTCATCATGAGGAGCCCCCCCAGTACCCGTCCCTATCCAGTCAGACACCTCCCTGTTCCTGCTCTGCTGATCCTGAGAAATCACATCTTCGGGTCATCTCCTTCGTGTTCATTCGGCTGTGTTGATTATCCCGTTGACGGCAGAAACTTTGATCTAGACTGGAGCTGCCAGTGTTTGTAAATAGACACTAAGGTTCTGTTCACCTTCATATCCAAGCCCGGTTCTCCACTGTGTGCTCACATGGGTCATAAGACAGGCAACCAAACAAAGGACCAAAAAAATTTCCAGTGATTCCACTGCAGTACCGGATGCCTCGTAAGCTGTATTTAAGGAAGGCTGCGTTCTGTGTGTGTATGAGTTGGTGTGTTTATACTCACACTGTGAACGTTCTCTCTCTCGCTCTCTCTCTCTCGCTCGTGTGAGCGTCTTGACTGTGCCATTAGAGGAAGGAAAATGATCTGGTTGCACACGTCTGTCTGGATAAATTAGGACTGGCTGTTGTGCCTATAAACAGTCCTGCCATTTCTCTGTCACATCCTCTTGCTTTTTTTAAATAATTGTCATTTTTCTTCCTCTCCTCTGGCTCACAGTTGAAGAGCACATTGCCTATGTTTGGCCAAAAACAGTCTGGATGCCACCTCCTCCTTGAACCCTGTAGTTCAGAGGAGGCCGGGCTAGGCCAAGCCTGTCGGGTCAGTGGTTCCGCTGAGTCCCCCATCATATGACCCCCCCCCTATTGTCTTTCTTTATGTTTTAGCCTAGCCAGCAGTGTGTTTAATGCCCTAACCCGCTATTCCGTCACGGCTGTGAAGGAGCATTGAGATGATCTAGACGGTCTGACTGTGTACTGCCCCCCACTGCCCGAGGTACCCAAGCACATCTAGGTCGGATTTTCAGAAGAACTCCCATGAAGCGTTGGGCTTGTATATAATACCAGCACTTGTATTATGTTTATGTACAAATTAATTCAGTGTACCAGAGAATGCTATATAAGGCAAAGGTTTTCATATTTTTATTTTATTATGGAAAACTGGTATGACTGGAATAATGGCAGGTTCTGAGAGTCCCGCGGACTGTTTTATACTTTATTTTTTATTTTTATTTTTTTTGACGCGGCTTGAGCCTTGGGAACATTGTTTTGTTATGTTTTTTTCTTATAAATCTTACACAAAGGCCTTTCTTGAAAAGCCTGTCTGATCTCCCCGATAGCCAAGTTCTTCCTGTATTAAGCTTTGATCAGTGTTTCAACAATTTCCATTTACTTAGAATTAAAACCGTGAAGTTTATGTATAGCATGGTGTGTTAGTTCATTATTGAATGACTTGATGTCTTTTTTGTTTTTAATTTAACAGTTAAAAAGTAGTGTTGATTTACATGGAGGTCACAATGCCAAAGGTAGATTTCATGAGGGCATTTCGAAAGGCTTGGGGAGGGGGGCAGTTCTGCAAAGGATGGCTCCATCTTATAGGGGGTTGTGTGCTTGAAGCTGTCTAGAAGGGTCTTCACCCAAACTCAATATACTCTTGATTATCTCAAGCCTCTTTAGACTATGTAACAACCTGCTATTCTCACTGATGCTATTCTCTCCTCCTTAACCTCGCTGTTTTTTGCGCCCAGCAGTAAAGAGACATGTGGCCACTTCATGTCAGATAAGCAGTGGAGCAGAGGAATGGGCTAAATCTTAACTTATTGAAAAAATGTCAGCGCCGGATGTGTTAGACTGCATTTTGACTGAAATCAGTGGTGTAGTCACTGTAAATACTGTAAATCACTCAATGCAGTGACACTTTAATCATCTCCTGTTAGCTGTAGTCTGTTACAGTAATATGCAAAGGTCCTTCTCACCTAACAGCAAGGTTCCCCCACTCTTTTCTCTCGGCCGTCTTCTCCCCGTTGTGGGCCTCTTGCCTGGGAAGCAGGAGGACGGGGGAGTTAAGACCCCGACCGTGTCACTCCCGCTGGTTGTGGAATCTGATGCCCACCACGCTCTGGATACTACTATGCAACTGAAACCAAACCCGGACTCCCGCCTCTCTGATGAGCAGCGTGGCCTCTACGCCCTGCTCCATCTGGTACCGACCCGCAGACGAGAGCTTCTGGGCCTTGGACACATAATGCAGGAAGAGCTCGTTCCCTAGTGCTGGACACAGAACTTTCAGGATCTCAAGTGTTGTTCTGTTCCAAGTCTTGATCAGCATTGTTATTAACATTATTATTATTTTATTATTATTATTATTGCTCGCTTTGTCGTCTCTTTCCCTCATCGTTTTAAATCTGACTCTTCTCGGTCAAACATTCAAAATGGCATAAGAACAACACGTTCGTCTGCTTGGTTTGAGGAAGGACTGGGTTGTAGGTGGGCAGTTACCTGTAGGCATTGGGACCAAATGCAGTAAAACTGGAACGACTCCATGTTTTCTTTTAAATTTGACTGTTGTACTTATTTTTATTTTAATGCTCTTTTTGTATTTGTGAATTTTCTGTGTGTTTTAAAGTCCTCAGTAAACCGTAATTACTCAAAATGAAAATAGTGAATAATAAATCATTCCTTAACTACAGGAGATGAATCAGAATGAAACATACTTACATTGTAATGATGATGCTGATGACAACATTGATGATGATGATGATAATAGTTACAAATAATAAATAATATATTAAGTCTCATGTTCACAGAATGCCTGTGAGGTTTATTTAAGTTTATAAAAACCATCCATCCTTCATCTATCGGCGGTCTGCTTTTCCCAGTGTGGGGACAGCAGACCAAGCAGGTCAGTGTAATATGAAAGTGCCTTTTATGATTCGCAATGTGACTCTCCATGCTCCTAAATATGTGTTCGTTTCTTGCTGGTGGCCAAATATACTGAATTAATGAAATGACTCGTGTATGTCGGCACGAAGATAGCATCCCATTCAGACTGCCCCTGCCACATTCCTGCTGCTCTGTGAGTCTCTTCTGGGAAATCGATTTATTAGAAGACTGCAGTGTATGACTGTCCTCCAGATACCTTGGTGATTCTGTGTTATGTGTGTTATGTTCCACATCTGTAGGGGGGTGCATTTGCTGTGCATCTACCCCCCCACCCCACCCCACCCCACCCCAGCACAGTCCAGCCCAACAACAGGCACAGATACTGCAATACGAAAGAGTTTCTTTTTATTCACAGTGGATGGAGCTGTTTTGTGATGTGTTACACTTGAGATGCACAGGTGGACCAGCGTGGGGGCGGGGGCTGGGAGGCTGAGGAAAAGGGGGCGAAGAGTCTATGTTCTCTTTCGGCCGCTTTTCCTCTCCCTCTCCGCGGCAGTTCCTTTCTCTCTCTCACTCTCGCGATGCTTGCTCCAGCTTTTAGGAGGATGCTAAGTCACTTCTCCCACCATTAGCCTCCCCTCCCACTGTCACTCCCCTTTCTCTTTTCCCAGAAATGGGAAATGTCCTATTTTATAGGATCACGTCCAGCATATTTCCCTGGCTGCGTGCCGTACAGTACGAGGTTCTCCGTGAGTTGGTGAAACACGGCGAAATCTCCCCCCAGCTGCAATTACTTACTGTTTTCCATTAAGCAATCAGTGCACTCCCATAGAGCCTGCAAAGAACCATCTGGCAGGTAAATGTACCGCTCTGTCGGATTGCCTTCTGCCGGGCTGCTGGAGATGCACTCACTGGTGTTCGTGGGGGGTGGGGGTGATAAAGACGGGGTGATGCAGAGGAGGGAAGAAGAGGAATCTTAAGAGAATGAGGGATGGGACTATATCATTTTATTGAAAATATTCCCATGGACCTCGTACTAGCTCCCAGATACCCAGAATCTTCTGTGCTCTCAATAAAGCCTCAGTAAAGTCTTTCTTTTGTGAGAGAGGGAGGGCGAGAGAGAGAGAGTGAAAAAGAGGGAGGTAATGTGGGTGTGGCGGAGGTGAGGAGTGGTGGAGAACCAAAGGATGCAGTTTTCTTGTCTTCCTTCTCTACTCCTCCTTCTCTTCACCGTGTGTGATGACGTAGCAGATGTTCTTGTAGTCCACGTTGCCAGCCACATCGGGGGGGAAGGCGGCCCACAGGTTCTTCATCTGTGGGTGGGGGTCAGAGTCACCATATCAGCAAGAAGTAAGGAAAGTCAGGTCGGACACCCACATTGGTTCATTGGAGTCCTTCCACTGAATATATTTTACTAAATTTATCTGGCACTATTGTCTTCAGCAAGTACGAATGTCAGTGGACTGCATTACACATAATAACAAATTCGCGGTTTAGCACGTCAACATAGTAAGCAGGTGGGAAGGGACTGGACCGCAGTCTCACCTCTTCTGCGGAGAACCTGTCGCACTGAGTGGTCAGGAGCTCCTCAAGGCTGAAAGACACAGGGTGTATTATGCTCGGGAAGTCTGCGCTACTGCATTGTTAATCTACAGACTTGCAACCTATAAGCAAAGACTGGCACATTACTCACTAATACTCTGGTTGGACTATTAGGATACTCACAATTCCTTCTTGATGGTGCCCGTGTTCTGTGGGTCCAGGACCTTGAAAGCGCTCACGATGACGTCCTCCGGGTCAGCGCCTAAGAAGGAGAGGGGGCCACATTGAGCCAGGCAGGAACGTGAAAATCATCTGTATGCTGGAAGAGGCTTCAGAAGTGTAACATCAGGGGAAGTTAAAGTGCAGGTATAGTTCGGGGGGGGGCGGGGACCCAGACCCACCCTTCAGCTTTTCGCCGAACATGGTAAGGAAGACGGTGAAGTTGATGGGACCGCTGGCTTCCTTGATCATGGCTTCCAGCTCCTCGTTCTTGGTGTTCAACTGACCTGCATGGCAGAAAAATGTAACAATGAACGTGCTGCAGATGCAAGTTGCACCTTGGGCTGTCCGCCAGACAGACACCTACGCTGCTGTAGGCTGGACGACGGTGAGGCCTTGCTGGTTCAACTCTTCTGGCAAGGCATTTTCATAAGGGTCTGCACCTTAAATGAAATGAACTTTGGGGGTTGAAAACCGATTCTTACCCATGGATGCCAGCACATCCCTCAAGTCATCCTTGCTGATGATGCCGTCCCTGTTCTGATCAATGATTGTGAAAGCCTGTAAGAGAAGGAGAGGCTTGTGAGCATGAAAGTCTGAGAAGAACAGGGTGACTTACTGCCAATTTCCCCTCAAGACTTCAATCGCTTCAATGGGTCATCTTCCTTGATGTCACTGACAGCACCGAGTCTTGTATGTGAATTAATTTTTGGATTACAGATTATGTCCATATTGCTTAAACATCTGAATCCAGCTGATGTCCTGAAAAGCTGCTGGCAGGGTGTGTGCTGCCGTATTGTCGGGCATGTCTGCTCCGGCTAGGACATACATGAAGTACTCCTTGTTCTTTCCTTAATACTTGAAACCTGAGATGACGTCTCTGGGTCTTGGACTTAAAAGGCAGCTGGGAACCTCCCACTGTGTGTCTTAAAATGGTCCCTGTGCCAAGTCAGACATTCCAGTTGTGGCATTCAAGGAGTAGGTATTACTTACATTTAACCTTCTATTAAACACATATATGTCTATATATACATACCCCAGGTCTCGGGGGTGAAATTACTCTCCTGCGATTATTATTATTCCCCATTCTGTCTTTCCTCAGTCATCTCCTCCTCTGTCACTCGTCACTCTTCTTTTCTCCAGACTGTTCATTATTAACATATCCTTTGTGTTCATTTAGTCCTGTCCTCTCTTCCTAGCCTCCTCCTTCCACTGTTACTTTCTCTCTCCCTCCCTCAGCTGTGTCTGACAGCTGCGACTCCCTGCCGTCCCGAGGTCATCAAGAAGGAAGCAGAGGGCCTGGCAAAGGGGCGGAGCCTTCTAAAGTGTCAAATATGAGGTTACCTTCTGTTATGCCTGGATAGCAGCTGTCATGGAGAAACTCCATCCATCATTGTGCTAAATGACTGATTAACTTGGCCACCTATCAAAATTCCCAGAGCGCTCTGCCTGACAGTGTACTTTAACTATGTGCTTAATTACTAGACATCAAAGTCTAGCAGAAGTTTGCCCTCTAAGCCAGTGAATCAGATCCCCCTGAGTGAGCGTGTAGAACCCACAGAGAGCTTGTGGAAGACTCTTACCTCCTTGTACTCCTGAATCTGGCTCTGCTCAAACATGGAGAACACGTTGGAGGTCCCACCCTCGCCTTGCTGCCTCCTCTTGGCCTTCTTGGGTGCCTGGGGGTTGAGTGAGACGTGCCATTCAACTCGTGGGTGTGGTAAGGACAGAGTGACTTTGTGGTCATGCAGTTCCTAGTGTGGTGACCCCCCTGGGAAAAGGTCCTTCCTGATACATTGTGTGCCCTGTATTTTTCACACTATACATATCCAGTCATGCTATTTTTACAGTGGGATTATGCATCTGTTAATACATATCAAATGTTGAGAAAAGATATTGAAAAGTAACCCAAAATCACAGTGGAGGCCAGTACTAAGTTTGCTACTTCTAATGAAAAAAAAACATCACCTAGAACTATTATTTTCCCTTTTAAACGTGATAATAGCCTGAATGTACTGTGCATTTTTTTTTACCATAAAATATGGTAGAATTAAGTAATACAGCATGTTTCAAAACATGCCTTATGGGAAATCAGAATCGATATTAGAGTAAAAAATAATCTGCTTTGGTGATTCATTTAATTTTTTTTGTTTATTCTTGCCTTCATTATGATTTATTTCTGGAATGTAATGTAGTTTAAATATGTATGTACAGACGCTCCTCTACTTACGAAAGAGATACGTTCCGAACAGCCGTTCGTAACTTGAAATGTTCGTAAGTCGTTATTCAACATCATTATACACAAGTACAGATAACTAGGATATGCTGGGAGTTTGCACGCTACGCTGCTGCGCAGCGGGAGTAGCAGCTAGAAGTTGTACTAGGCGGAATTGGTGTGCAGAAAAAAAAATTGATGTTGCGGACAGGAAACGGGAGCCCAATGAACACAATTTGGACTTACAGTCCTCTTCGTTCGTATGTCTGAAAGTTCGTAAGTTGAAAGTTCGCAAGTAGAGGAGCGTCTGTATAGCTTGGTTCACCTGACACATACACATTGACAGTACATTATTTCCAGGTCAAACTGAACTGCAGATTTTTTCCTCATCTACGTGTTGTTATGCATTTTCAGCTTTAATTGTCCTTAAGCAAGATTTCTAGCTTATTCTGACTCATTACATAAACCTGTATTTTCTCATGTCTGAGAACAGAGGAGCACAACTGTAAAAGGAAAAAAAAAATTGACAATAAAAATCCAAAAAAATATTTAAAATGTTAAATCCATAAAAATGAGACAATGGTGCGTTTCTGAATGTCCGTGCGTTCTCCGCTGTGGCGCCCCCCACAGGAGGAAGATGAAGGATGGATGTGGACGGGCCGGGCCGGAGTTACTCACCATTTCCCGACGGTGTGAGGAGTTGGAACGGTCGAAAAAGAGAAGAAAATGTGAAGCCGCATGAAAGCACAGTTCCCCGGGGGCTTATATACCTCCAGGCAGCTGGGTTAACTATAGCTGCTCGTCAAGTTTGGAAGGGAAACCTCACAGCTGCTCAGAAATAGATCCATGTGTCTTGGAATGAGGAGAACATGATATTGAGGTCCTAGCTACACTTTAGTGTCATGTATGGACTAATATGGATATACCCAATATTAGGGGCTACTGGGCCCTACAGCAGATATCCCTTCATATGTCTTCACACCCTAAAAAATTCACTTATTCTTATTGGTAGATGCCCTCAACTACAGCTGGTTCCTAGACATAAATTCTCTGAACTTTTATGAATATAATTGTCATGTTACTGGTGGCCTACTAGTCATTTAAGCAGACTTCAGGCCGGAATAACTAAGATGATTAGGTCTGTCATACACCATGCAACATGTGACACACCTTTGGAAAACATCATTATGCTACTTCTGTGGGTCAGTGTGACGTTAGCGCTATACGTGTTTCAAAGACTCTGGGTGGTTTTTGTTTTATTTGTATGTTGATCTGAGACAGCTGCATTTTTCTTTATAACTCATGAATTAAGAGTCTGGATAGCTGGACTCTCCTTTTCAAAATAAAAGCCAATGTTTGTCAGCAGTCCGGTTACATCTTAAACTACAAAGCTACAGCCTTTCTTTTTTTCTTAAGCATTTCCCAGTTCTGTCCGTCTTGCATGCATGGGAAATTGGGGGTCGGGCTATCAGATACATATAGATGCAGTTTGTTAGCCACAAATATTACCTCCACTCCCATTCAGCGAATTCTGGGACGCAATGGATTCGACACAGAAAATATTAAGAGAGTATTATCAGTTGTTAATAAATCAATCTAATTTGACAATGGCGCAATAATAAGTTCTTATGTTTGTCCCCGGTATATTACTAGCTTCAGACATACCTTTTACCGCCGAGGTCCATATTTGAACCCCGAATACTGTATAGTAAGCATCGGACTGCAGGCGTGAAAGCAGATACCCTTCCACGCTCGCCCTCTCTTTCCCATTAACTCACATTCTCTCTCTCCTAATGTCAGATTGCTGTAGAGAAGCAGGTCCGGTTCTGATGAGAAAATGCGGTCAGTTCAGCCAATGTATCGGCAGCGGGGCGATGGTCACGGCAGCTGTGACGTTATTGCGTTTTCGAAGTTTTTGTATTTCATGGATCGCAAATGAAAAGAGGAGGCAAGATGCAAGGCCTCTGGAGGGAACATGTGAAAACGATTAGTCGTAGATCTTTTTGTAACTTTTTAAAATTCTCTATTCTCTATAGGTATTTTCTTCTCAAATTCCTATTCCCACAGTGATTAATTTTCTTCTTACTTCTTTCCGTACCCCTCGATGTGACCATAAGCAAATGTATTTTTACGTTTATCGCAATATCTCATGCACTTTGATAATATTTAGACGTGAGGCTTAAGGACAGTGTTTTCCCCCACATTCTCTGTTAATTGGTAGAAAGCAGGAGAAGCATCTACTGCTGCTCATAACCGTGCAGTAAAGATATATATAATGCAATCTTTTTAAAATGGGATTCAAAGAAAAAGGAGAGGAAATAAAATCGCCATCTCACGCGCAGGTCTGGAAATAGGGGCAGCTTGACTGTCTGATCTCACACCCAGCTACCGACTGGCCCACTTTGAAACAGTGCAGCCTTTAATGTATCTAGAAATTACTGCTTTGGGTTTTAATATTAAGACATATCTAATATAAATATAAATTCCTCAAGATGAAGACTCCTTTGGTAATCTGATAATGAACTAAAAATACAAGCGATGTCGCCAGGCTCGATTTGCACGACTTTTCGGAACTTTAATTCACCAACAAATGTGTTATTGTCAAACGTCAGTGGAGGTATTGTGCAGAACTTTTTCATTTTAAACAATTCACATTTACAGTGTGTCTTTGTTTTGTATATGTAATCTCTCTGTGTTTGTAATTAAATGTGGGCGTTTTTATTGGAAACGAGATTAGAATTATTTTCATGACATGAACATGCTGTTGCGTCACAAAACATAGGCCTTCGCGGTTAATAAACGATTGTTGTTGAGTGAACGAATTTAACTCGGTTGCCTCTATCGTCAGGTCATTTCTTTTACTGACTGATCCAACGTTTAATTCGTCCATTGAGTTGTTTTTCGTTCATGACTTAGATACCGTAACTTTCGTCCCCCACAGAAGTAATGATGTACAGACATCAGAAAGAGTCAATAGGCCTATGGGAAATTTAGTAATTAACATTAAGTGTAATATATAAACCTAATGGAAAAAATACATAGAATACGTATAAGAAATATGTATTTTTTGTATATAACCAATTAGATATATAATGAATGTAAGTTTATTATTATTATTATTATTATTATTATTATTATTATTATTATTATATAATGTATGTTTTAAACCATTTAAAGTTGTCTAAAATTATTTTAATTTCCTTTCATTTAAAATAAAAGCATAAGACATGCTAAATTGCTCCGTGTCTGATTGTGCCCTATGCTGCATAGCACTGTTCTATGCAAGGTGTAATATCAGTGGGATAAGCAAATACCCAGTATGGCATGTTTGCTGGGTGTGGTTCTATACGCACATAGATTTGTGGATATCTGATACACATTAATATGACACATCAACATCCACCCATCCATCCAAATTACTTTTCCATTATGCTGTCATGGTGAACTGGAAGCCCTTCCCAGTAAGCACTGGGCATGGGGCAGGTGTCAGCATGTATGAGTAATGTAATACAGTATGACCGTTTTCATAAGAAAATGATAATAATAATAATAATATCAATAATAATAACAACAATAATAATGGTACTAATAATGATAGTAACAATAATCAGTATTATTATTTTATTATATTATTATAACAATGATAATTATAATACCGTTATAATAAATTGTATAAGTAGTAATATGAGAATGATTTAATATACTATGGGAACAAGAAGCAGACCATTAAAATATACACCCATTACATTTCTCTCCTTTGCCAAGAAGCCAAGCGCAGCAGAGACCAGCGTAATGCTCTTATGTAACAGGCTTTCCAGGATGGGGTCACTTCAGCTGGCACTCGCGCCCCCTTGGCTGTTTGCTCGCCCTGGCAGCAGCATGGATTCACAGCAGCACTTACATCAGGGGGCTGCCCTAGAGTGAATCATGGCTGGAGTCCTAGAGCCGGTATCCTCTCCAAGGGCTGTGTTCACTTTCTGCCCAGAAATAGCTTAAAGCCTTTTACCCCATTACCTAGGTCATGCAGTCCCCCCAAATGGTAACGTCAAAGGAGCCAGCTGGGGGGGGGGGGGGGGCTCGTAAATTCATTCATACACAAAAACTCACATAAAGGACATAGAATTTCTATAAATGTCTATTTAAAGTTTGCCGACACTTTGTACCAGTCACACATTCGTCGAACGGCTTGTTCGCTACACATAGAGCGTACACCCTACAACAATGACAGTTTGCAGCTGTTCTCCTTAGATCTCCAGCTTCTTTTTTGAAATGGGAAAAGGAAGAAATGGACAGGCTTAAAATAATGACAAAATGATATTTCCGCATCTTAAATCGAAAATAAAAATATCTTGCATATAATGCAAGTAGAAGTGAAGTTTCACTTCAGCACGAGACCAGACAATTCTACAGTCAAAGCTCTGAGTTACTATCCCTGAGTTCAGTGGTGTGTCTAGTTTTGTCTATACCCATAATGGCAACTTTGGGTTTGGGGGGGGGGGACGTCGATGGGAAATCTATAGCACAGGGGGCTCTATTTTGCTCAGCTAACATCTATGTTTTGTGCTGTGGACCACCAAGCAAAACAATGTCTTCAACTCATAGCTTTGGACCTCAAAGGACAACCATCTATTCAGTCACCTGATTCACTCTGTGTGTGATATTCCATACACAATGTGACCTCTAGTAAATCTGCCAAAGATCGCTGTACATTAAAGTGGAATGCTATTTGGTTTGTTATTGATAGTGTGCCATGGCATAACCATGACAGCCTTTGGTTATGCCCTTCAAATACAAAAGCAAAATTTGACCACAGTGGCCTATACCACTTGACAGAAAATGTTAGATGTGTTAACAGGTGGACATTATATGACATTTGGCATGTTCCATAAATTTCTGGGATCTGGCAAACAATTTTTTTATATAGTTAGAAACGTCTGCCAAGTCTGTTTCTGAAACTCTGTCATTAAGAAGGTTGAATATTGCATTTACTAACATTAACCGATGTCTTAAGTATTTATTTGGCAAGATCATGTGTCAGACAGGTGAACTGTAAAACAGCAGCCAGCTCTGACACTCTGCGGCTTTCCACTTATGTGCCAAGTGGACTGTGTGTGGCACTCTGGGGACGTCAGAGGGTTGGTCTGATGGGCAATAATCTTTGATCAGTTGTGTGTTTGGATGGTCCAATATTCCATGGATCAGTGTGATATTTGCTGTTAAGCCAAAGTTCTAAGAATTGTTTGGTTACCCCAAGTAGCATACAATGCATATAACCCCACTGGGAACCCTTTCATCATATCAGAACCAGTAGAACTGTTTAATAGGATCAAGGGTGACACAGACACATGGTCAAGCACATGGTCAACACCTTCCTCTATATCCTTTGCCCCACACTCAACAATATGCTTTTGGCTTCGCACATCAGCCTCAACATCAGGATACACCCTTAAATATCCCCTCCCTTTCGCCACAATCATTCCCTCATTGAGAGGGAATGATTGAACATATCGTCAAATGGACTTGGTAATTCATGTTGCATATAACCTTCTGTAAATCTAGCAGTATCTGGATTTTCTGGGCACTTCACACAGCCAATCAGGATCTAACAATCTGAATAAAAGAAGGGTGCCTAGCCTAGAAGATACCGTTTGTAATTTTATTTTTTAAAGAAGGCAAACAAACAGCAGTGCCGCTGAGCTTTCATAATTAACTTCTATATCTGCCTTTTCTGTGTGTATGTTTTCCTGTTTCTTTGAAAAGACCATGACTAGGAGAAGAAAAATGATTAGATATTTCAAGATGTTTCAATACAGCCAATTGTGCATGAGGTCATTTCATGCTGAACAAATTACGGCTATGTGTCACACCCAGGCAAGGAAGGAAGGGAGAACAAGCACAGGGGAATGAAAAGAGCTTTACTGGAAAAAACAAAACAGAAGCAGGGCAAACTCAAAGGACCACAAGGGGTCAAAATGGGAACATCCAATCCAAAGCCACTGTCCCTGATGTCCATGCAATGTTGAAGAGCCAAGACTGCCCAACATCAAGACCTGTCAAGAACTCAAGGCGAATCTCACCCATGTATTTATATGTTCGCTAAAATTAGCTACTCCTAGTAAAGTCTCTTAACCATTAGCTGTGATGCTTCCTTGGCAAATGTATTGAGTGCATTAGTGCAGAAACCATATAAACCATATAAGATTGTTGCTACGGCAAAACAAGCACAAGCCGTTTCCAAGTTAAAAACGTTTCACCAGTTAATCAGTAACAACGGCATTCCTGCGTTCAATACCCCTCTCCCCTCTCCACAGTCTCTCTCCCAGATTCCTAGACATGTATATGCTCATTCTGTGGATTATGGATTCCCCAAAATGGGATGTTTTACACCAAAAAAATTGTAAATGGTGTCTGTGCTATGGGATGTATTCATGATGTAAGATATGGGGATGAATCTGGCCCTGAAAAATAATCCAGAAAGGTTAGTAAATCTTAAAATCACTCATATATTGTCTTTATCATCATGTTAATGTTAAAGTACTGCATATGTCTTCCTTCTTAGCCGATAGCCTATTTAAATTGGCACTGAAGCTATTGTTACCTTGATAAGCTACATCATGTGAGAGAGCAATAACTCTGTTTTATTTTCGTATTTAAAAAATCCAGTAGGATTTCTATAGGGTTTTGGTTCCAAAATATGATAGAAATTCTACAGGATTATCCCTATTGGATTCCTATAGGGGGCGATATGGTGGCGCAGTGGTTAGCGCTGCTGCCTCACCGCAAGAAGGTCCTGGGTTAAGTCCTGGGTTAGGTCCCGGGTCCTTTCTGTGTGGAGTTTGCATGCTCTTCCCGTGTTCGTGTGGGGTTCCGCGGGGGGCTCCGGTTTCCTCCCACAGTCCAAAAGTGTGCAGTATAGGTTGATTGGCATGTCTAAATTGGTCCTGTGAGTGTGTTGGCGACTGCCCAGGGTTTGTTCCCGCCTGTGCTCCTTGTTCTCAGGATAGGTTCTAGTCCCCCCCGCGACCCCAGTTTTTTTGATTACGGTTGATGATGGAAAAACCAGACTTTGAGCCAGTGCAAGGTGCAATAAGGTTGTCCTGTCTTAATTGGTCGGAGGTGTGTCTTGGGCGTAACATGCAATGAACCAAAAACAATAGTATATCTGTGTCTGTAAGAAGCATTGTGCACCTGCACATTTCTAAAACGTGCCACTTAAATGCCATTTAATAATGGACCACTGACTTCAGATGTGGTTTTTGTTGGTCGAAAGCACAATGACATTGCACTGCCTTAAAAGAGCAAAAGCGACAACAGTGCAAAACCACTTTGCGTCGCGCTATCCGCCGGTGCAAAATAGGGCCCAGGGCTGGGGGGAAGGATTAGGGGAATGGGGGTGTGAGAAATGAGAATGGTTTAAAGAAAAACAGCAGAGAGGTTTTCGACAATAGCAGAGGGAAGAAACACACAAGGACAAAAGATGGGTGTTGATAGCTACAAATATGGGCAAGGTTGGCTATTCGGGTTTGGATGGAAGAGTAAACAAACTCAACCTCATAAATTGACCATGACACAGGTAACCTAAATAAGTGCCCCCATCACATGACTGCACCGCGGAACATTAGGAACATTTTACAACATCGTTTAACTCGATTCAGTCATATCCCCCTCCTGAACTTCTCCATCATTCTGCCTTTCTCGCCATGTGGCCATTACAGTTTTTACTTCCTGACCATAGAGCTCATGCAATGTGCAGAAATCCTCCAGGGGCTCTGGTCCTGCACACGGTGGGGCTGGTCTGCTTACGGGTGTGATATGGATGGTTGTCTTTTTCCAGAGTTTCGGCGACCTCCAGCTTGAAGTGTGAAGGGCATGAAATGACAGGCTCCTGGTATAGCCTCGCCCCACTTTTGGCAGAGGACCCCTGCTTCGCCTGAAGAAGGAGTAGCCTGTGTCCTTGGAACCCAGAGAGCAGGTTAACTGTGATTCCTCTAGACGAGACCCAGTGGAGAGCTGCAGAGACTCAGAGGGGTAGGCTATACCTCCCATATCTGTTTGATGGGGAAGGAGAATAGGAGGAAATGTAGATACGATACGTGTTAGGCAGCAAAACACACACTGAAGCAGAGAGAATGAGCTCATTATAGAAGCTAAGTTCAGCCCGTAGATATTTGGTAGATGTCCATTTCACTTCCAGAGCCATAAATATTTTGACACTGGAAACCACCAGTGTCTTTGCCAAAAAGTTGCCAGCCATGTAGCTGTGAGAGATGCCAGTCTGCGGTCACTATGTGTCAGGAGCTTGGTGCATGTTCTCGCTTCTTCCACTATCACCTTCCCGGTGACATACTCACCTTTATACTGCCTCTCTAGGTCCCTCACCAGCATGGACAAGAAGCCGTGGCTGGCCGCCAGCAGCACTTTAACCCAGCTCTGCTGCGTCGGCTCATCTGCACCGGCCAGCCTATGGTTCCATTGCCCCCGGTCCCCATACACCACAGAAAAGGCAAACGGCCCCTCCGAGTCGCATAGCTGGATGGAGCAGCCCTCCAGCACTATGACCCCCAGTGGGCTGCTGTCCCCTGGTTGCTCTTGGTAGAAGAGAAGATTCCCCTTCAGTACAAACCAGTGCTTCTTATAGGAGCCAGTCTTCTGTTCCTGGGCAGAAATTTTCAACAATAATTTTAATTCAGTCTTGCAGCCTTGTGTGTTGGTTTAATTGTACCCATATCATTTATTCAATAGGTTACTAGTGCAAAGTGTAATTAAGTAACTTGCTATCAGCCAATAAAGTGTAATACATGTGATATATAGACCGACAGTCTTTTGAAATTGTATTAAAGGTCCCGCTACCTTTCTATAGAGATAGCCGTGTTTGTCGACTGGTGAGCAGCAGGACCAGAAGCGGCGCAGGATGCTTCCATGGATCTTCATCAGAGAACTCCGTCACTACAAAAGCCTGGATGTGACTAAAGAGTACCGAAACCGTAACAGGAGTTGCTGCAGAATCGCAGTTCTCTTTTCAGTGTTTCATGCGTTAATGATTGATCTGCAAATCACCATGGTCTTGGGGGGTTTATCCGCTCTACTCCAGCAGAAGATGAAGTGAGGCACACCTCTTTGAATTACTTTCAGTTTGGGGAAACCGTCAGAGAAAATTAGTAGACATTTCAGATTTTTTAACAACATTAATTTGAACCGGATTTTGAGTCTAAGAACGGTATGCATTCATTTATGAACCCACCAAAAATAATTTGTAAAACCACCGAAAATCGTGGATTGGCTATGAATATAACACCAGAAAAAAAGTGATAATAGTACAAGGGTTACCTCGACGATGGTTTCTGTTTGCCCACTTAATCAGAAACTTGTACAGCACACCAATAAGGAAACTTGGTATGATAAATAAGACGCTTATCTTTTCAGTGAGCAAAGTTCCAGTTCTGTTTTTTATATTTAGGCCTACATTATTATAACTTTTTCTTCACAGTTCGGAATTTGCCCCAAGTCACAGGTGTTGCAAGGTATTTAAAAAGTGTGCCTTTTTTTAATATAACCATATTTTTATTGCTGTGCATTTAGATTTTCTCAATCTAAATCTAATTTGGATCAAGCTGAGGCACACTAAAGATAGGAGGGCTCTTGGCATTTATTGATGCACAATCCTTCCATCCATCCATAAATTATTCATTTTCATCCAAGCATCTTCTAACAGGTTTCATTTTCATTGCCGCAGGAAATGCTGGGGCCAGACAGCATATGGTATACAATTAACTGTTACAGGTTTTGCGCTTTTCAGCAGTGGGCTGTATGCTGGAGTGAACATTACTGTAGTGTGGTCTGAAAGTCCAAGGTGGGGGCGGGGGGCTGCTCTGTATGCAGCTTTAGTGTTTGTGTAAACCAAGTCCAGTATATTAGCTCCTCTGGTTGGGAACTCAAGATGTTGGTGGAGTTTTGGCAAAACAGACTTTACTGTAAATCTGCTTTATTAAAGTCCCCGGCGATGAGAGATTGCAGGTCACTGATGGTGTACAGCTCATGTAGCGCCTCCTTAGCATTAGCGTCGGGGGTAATGTACACCGCCACAAAAACGATGTCGCTGAACTCCAACGGCAAATAATAATGCAGTGTCATCCGTAAGGACCGTCCCATCACCTGCCCTGACTGCAAGTCTCCGAGGAACAGATTCAGGTGTGTGTAATGCTTCGATTCCTCTGTAAGCAGGACGTGGGTTTCTAGACCACAGATGATCACCTGCTCATCTAGCAAACGCCTCCTTATCGGCCCTCAGAGCCCTCACAGCGATCCTCCTCGGTTCCCGGTACAGACTGGAGTTGCCACCAAGTCGTATGCTGTGACTCCTCTCAATAATATCCAGGGTGCCCTGCAAGATGAAACACCTCCTTCTCGGAACATCGGCAACATCAACACAACCCTCGGCAACCTTCAGGGTCTTATCATGGAAGGTCTCCAACATCATCCCCCATCCCCTTCATGGTGCATGCATTCTTTTTATTCCTTATTATCCTATTTAAAAACATGTTTTTTTGACTTAAAATAGTTGGGAAAATCATTTATAAATAGGATGAAAGAGGGTGTGCTGTAAGAATGTACAGTATACGATATTTACCCAAAATAATGACAAGGCTAAATATCGGATGTGCTTGTGTCCAAATTACCCATATAATAGATTATGTTATAGTAAGTAAAAATAATGTGTCTTATCCATTATTTAATGACAGTCAATTATGAATATCAGACCAAGCAGTTTACTATAAGAACATTGAAATAAAAAGAACAAAAGCTGCAAGGGCCAGTATCAAATTTAAATCTTCTGTGTAGAAAACCATGAGACTGCATGTAGCTGATACAATTCTAAAGTAGGTTTCTTAGACTTATAAGGACATGACAAATAAAACTAAATAGCTCCTCTACTCAAAGAGATCTCTATCTTCCCACATAAAGAGCCTAATTTTAAGTCCCCAAGAGTGTTTGCTTGAAAACTGTACTAACTAGTTTACTGTCAGGTTTTTTGTCAAACAGATTAACATCACCAACTTTCAGTGGAGGTGTAATAGAAGAAAACTGGACACTATTTTGTATCATGCAGATTTTGTCATATCTATTGCACAAGACAGTAATTTTATACTGTTCTATAAATTCCTCAAAACATAAAAATTTGGCCACTTGAACCCAACAAATCCAGGTCAAACGTACATCATTACCACAGGAATCAATTTTAAATATGGCTCCCCTGCTTGGGATAAGCAATGGGAAGATGGATGGATCATTGGATGGATGGATCTATCACCTTGTCGGCACAGTAGGTGGCGCTATACACCTTTAAGTGAAAACATGAAAACGCCTCACAGAAGAAGAAGATAGGAAGTATCGCTGTTTGGCGTCACGTCCTGTTTGGTATTTTACGGATGGTGGTGCGACTCACGACAGAGTTGTTAACGAGTAACTGCTTTTTTTTCTAAGTCAGCGACTTTTTATGCACGTTGCATCACGTTTACCAACTTTATGTCAGAGTTTATTCTCTATTTGCAGATTTTTCTTTAGGCATTCTGTATCCCGTCATGTACGCATGTGCTGTAATTAGCCGATTAGCTTGGTGGCTAGCTCGCTGCATTATTAGGATAGGGTAGTTACGTTTTATGCATTTTCGGTGGGTAGATATCTAAGTATCTTGTTATTCTTAATCTCTTAATGGATGCGTTGGTTTGAAGCAGGTTCAAACAACTATGTTTTGTAGATAATTAACACGTTTTTTGTGTCAGGAGTAATTAAACTATTTGAAGCCATCCTGCGCATGTAATGATAAATGTGATCTGAGCGAGTCAGCCTTTTAGATGGACCTGCCTTTGTGAGATGATGCAGATGTGCAATACAGTATAAGAGCTGCGGACGCTTTTGTAAAATCTCCGTGCGTCGTTCAGACTCATGGTTTCTCACTGACCTTTCCCACTCTCTGCAGCATGTCTAAAAGAAAAGTGACATTCGAGGACGGCGATGGAGAATTCAGCCTGGAAGAGGATCTCCAGAAGAAGAAGGTGAGGACTCGTGCAGTTCATATTCAGGGGTAGTATTATTTGAATGTTACCATCTTAAAACTCTTCCACATCTCTGTCAGTTCACCTGCAAGCAAAGAGAAACAAAAGGAACATGTTAAGGCCTTTGTATGTGTTGCATGTAAATAACTGTACAGTCTGACATATTTAATGACTACGTTGTTGTTTATGTGTGAAGAAGCTGTTACTTAGAGATCGATAGTGTTCAGAAACTCTTTTGTCACAAGATTGCTTATATACATTGCTTGTTCCTACTCCTCTTCACTCCTTTACTTGTTGCTAGATATGTGAGGCTGTGAGTGGTCCAGGCTCAAGGTTCAAGGGTAAACATTCCTTGGACAGTGATGAGGAGGATGAAGAAGAAACAAGGGAGGATGGGAGCAAATATGAAATTCTGGACAGTGATGACGTGGAGGGTATATATCATGAAAATGGATGGTGTGACAATAACGCGTGTTGGCCAGATTGTCATTCATTTTTGCATGTGAGCTTTAGTGAGTTCTCTGTACTGGTTCTTATAAGTCTTCTCTGTTCTGCCAGGTCAGGAGCAGGCTACGATTGACTATGACGAGGGAGTGCCCATCACACCCTTTAACCTGGATGAAGAGATGCAGGAGGGCCATTTTGACTCAGAGGGCAACTACTTTGTGAAAAAGGAGGAGCAGATTCGAGACAACTGGCTTGACAATATTGACTGGGTACCATAGCTGTACTTACTGCTTACACAGATATGACACCATTACATGCCTGCTCTAAAGCATGACCAGGAAATGACACCATATCTCTAAAGTCACATGAAAGCATCAAGTCTCGGTTTGTCAGTTGTGGCGGGTGGGATTTCAGTGCCCTGTCATTGGCTGACATACCACACCTTCCCATATACTTAAACTTCATTCCTCAATTCGAAATAAGTTTTTATGTATATGGCAAGTAGGTCTCTTACTTTAGCAAAATTTGTATGGCTGAGCTTGAAACCAGGAAAAGGTCATATGGTTAAAAAAAATCTGATTATTTTTATCTTGTAACTCTTGTTTTAAAGGCAGCTGTGTCACTGCATGTTTGAGAGTATTTTTAAGGGCTTGCTTGACACTTTCAGCCTACCTTGATGGTTATCGTTGCTTCCTAATTAATTATAGTGATTGCTCCTTTATATCTGTGCACTGTTGCCCTCCTTCCTGTCTCCCCAGGTAAAAATTAAGGAGCAACCTGTAAAGCGAAAGAAAGGTCTTGCAGCAAAGAGGAAGAGAAGGGAAGGGGATGAAGATGAGGCAGAGGAGGAGAAACAGAGGGAAGAGAAGCGGGCTGATAGTGAGGAGGAAGAGGAGGCGCCTAAAGTTGTCGAGGATCCTTTGGCATCTCTCAGCCAGCGCCAGCTCATGGAGGCTGTTGTTGATCTGCTGTTGCCGGGGGAGACTGTTGCTGGGGCACTGAGGCGGCTCGGGGGAATGGTTGGGAGGAAGAAGGGAAAAGGGAACAGCAAAGGCCAGGAAGAGGGCTCAAATCGAGACACAGAGAAGCTGGACAGGCTCACAGCATTAGCGGACCGGCTGGTGGGCAGTGGGGAGTTTGAGATATACCAGCAGACCTACGAGAAGTTGGCATACATTATAAAGGTTAGAGCAAACCAGAAAAGAGTTGGAAAAGATGAGGATGATGTGTTAGACATGTTTGCAGATGAAATTGATACAAAGGATGGGGGGAAAGCTCCAGAAAAAGAAGATGAGGAGGATGACGGAGGAAGAGGTGGGTTACAGTAAGAATGGAGATTGTTTTGGATATGTCGGAGTGCATTTCCATGGCTCAAGGCCAAACTGACCGTGTTTTCCCTATGCAGTGAGTGATGATGTCATGTGGGAGTACAAGTGGGATATGGATGATAAGTCAGAAATCTATGGCCCATTCAGCAGCCAGCAAATGCAGGTGAACCTAGCAGATCTCTCCCCCTTTCTGCTGCTCCTTTTATAGGCTGGTTATGATTCATGGCTGCAAACATGTACCTACTGGTATATGTGTTTGTACTCTGAAGTACAAACTTTACACTTATTACTACTTGATTTCTAGTTAAGGGTTCAAGTTTTGTGAGTGCCCAAGTCTCATAATTGAATTCTTTTTTCTCCTTCAGAACTGGGTAGAGGAGGGCCACTTCAAAGATGGTGTCTACTGCAGGAGGGTTGGAGAGGGAAACACACAGTTCTACAGCTCCAAGAGGCTTGACTTTGAGCTGTACACCTGAAAAACTGATACATATCTCTGTGAAAGTTTCTGTTTGTGTGTGTCTGTTTTTTCTTTTTTAAATAAATTAGACCACTTCAGGTCAATTATTGAGTATTGTGTTTTAATAAAGTGTGAAATGAAACCTGGGGGGAGGTGCACAGTAGTCATAAAAACTGAAAGTATTATATGGTTTACACTGTGTATGCATGGTCTTTAATGACTGTACATTTTAAATGCCTAATTCATTTTAATTTTTAAAAAGCCAAAAGTACAAGCTAGTGTTTACAATTATGGCTCCTTGTATGACTCCCGCCCAGTTTCTAGCCTGGTGGTAAGCGGGGACTTAATTGGTTCAGGATGTATTATTAAAGTTCATCTGGGTGGAAAGACCGCTTCCAGATCAATTCATTGGTCTCTTTTCGTTAGAAGAGCTCTTCTCTCTGTTTTATTGGTCAATAAGCCACGGTTTGTAATTTCCCATTGGTTGATCTCTGGAAGTAGTAGGAGGCGGGTATAAGTTAAACGGTTTGCCAGCTGATTGGTTGAGAACCGTCAACTGTGGTAGGTTGTGAGGCGTTACGTTTAGGGAAGCAACTTGAGTGAAATTGTAAGGTTGGGCGCCGTCGATAGAGTCATATCGTTGTCGGCGGTCGCGCTGCATAATTCTTATTTGTGTATTGTTGCAGTGAAATATTTAACATTTAAAAAGCAATATAAATGGGTGCCTTTTGCAAATGATTTTGTGCGGATTTATGTAAACATATTACTGGCCCGAAATTGCTTTTCCCCCTTTAATTAACTTGCTTAGTTTTTTTTGTAATATTGATGGCAATCCGTCCTTCGTTAGTTGGCTTACTAAATATTTACTGCATATCGAAGTCAAAGTGTATCAGCACGATCGTGCCGCCTGTTAATTCGATGCGGCAGGCTGACTTTTTAAAATCTAGCGGTATTCCTCGTTAACGTGGAGAAATAACATCCGTGGCTGTCCGGTGGTGTGATTTGTGTAGTTTGGGGGATAAGTAAGTGTTTGCTCGTTACTGTGCGGCCACTTCGGGCTTTTGCTCGCCCTCCTCTCGTCGCATACCGATAGCAGGCTGATGGGGCTCGATCCGAAGCAGCGGCATTGCCCGGTGCATCGGAAACGGAGCTAGTTTTACTCCGTGACCGGAGCCGGTGCACGCCCGCTTGGAAAAGCTGTTTCGGCCGGCGAAAAGCGATCGGTAAGTTCGCATTTATTGTTTCAGGGCACTGTCCTTGTGGGTCAACATGATCCGAGTTCGTGGTTTTACGTTTATTTTATTAGAAATAGCTAACAATGTTACGGTAAACAAAAAAATAAGAATACATTAGCTAGGGGACTGTAATGCACGACCAACGACCACAAAAAAATGCATTTGGAATTATACACTTTCTGTGACTGCTGTTGCAGCAGAGGAAAAATTGAGGATATTGCCCTTCCTCCAGGTTATCTGTCCAATGGAAGAAGATGCGAAAGCTGCTTGCAAAGCTCCTCAAAGCAATTCCCATCCCAGTCTCCAGCCTCCTCCTCTTGTCACATGCAGGTACCTTGTCTGTCCCAGTTCCTGTCTATTTGGTTGAGCCTTTGAGATCTCCTTAATCTTGCTGTCTTCGTCGTCATTGTTCGTTGTAAATTCCTGAAACAAAACGGGGGAAAAATCTTCCCTGACTACCTCAAAACAGCACATCAGAAATGTAACATAGTCTTTCTGAACTTTATAAATCCCACAAAGGGAAACTTCCACCACCAGCAAATGGGAACCAGCAATCCCAGCCAAGTGTTTAAACTGCTGTAGCAGGACACTGAGAAGGCTGGTATCCTCTCCAGTTGCTAGATTAGTTTGCTCCAAGCTAAGAAGCAAATGCTTCTCTCACTGAATGTTATAATTTAAGTATGCTTTACCCCGTTTTAACTCCAACTACTTGGATATTTTGCCTGCTCGAATGTCACTGACATCCAGGGTGCTCACTGATGGGGGAAGGAGCAAAGCAAGGAGGAGGAGTGGTCGTCTTCAGCTGGCCAAGGAGCTCCAAGGTGCCATACAGAAGAGGACGAGGTCCTCTTCCTCCCTCGCGAAGAGGATCTCCAGCAACACGGTATCTCGGGTCTGTCCCACTCAGAATTCCTGAAGTGTCTTTTGATGGATTTGATAATAATGAGATGCATTTTGTCATGGGTGAAAGCTTACTCATCTCTGCTGTTGAACATCTTCAGTGGCATATTGGTTTTTGGCTTAAGGAAGTGAGTACATGTTGTTTAAACATAGGCACAGGTGTAGTCGCTTAGTCAGAAGCTTCTCAGTTCAGGTCTCACTGTTAGAACAACATTTTTCAGAGAAGAAATCTTTTGACCTGATTTGTTGCAGTGAAATGGTGAGCTACGTAAATTGTAAATGTCAGGATGCTGATAGACTCTGGCAGATGTTTTCAAATGGTAAATCATGCATTGAAGCATTGTTGGATAACTGATTAAGTGTATTGTTTTTTTTAATTTTCAGGTACAGGTTCCAAAGTCCTTGTCTGTGAAGCTAATAAGGATTGATTCCCCACTTAAGAATCAGAAGGAGGATTCAGCAGACAGCACTGTGCGTCTCTCTGTGTGCCATTTATCAGGTTTTGCTCCTATTTTGAGGCCTCTGTGAAAGATGGGTGGTTTCTGGCCATTTCGACTCATTGTTTTCATGATGATTCCTTTTTTGGGATGAAAATTGTTTTGTATCTCGCTGGCCCAGACCTGTTTGGCAGCCTTGAATGCTGTGCCATTTGTGCCAGTCCTTGTGTGTAAACCTTTGTGCAAACCCATTCTGGGGCAGGGTGATGATCAAGTATGAGTGAGAGTTCACGAGAGATCCAGGGAACTTATGTGTGTGTATAAAATGTTGATGTTTGAGTTGATTTGTAATGTTTTTCTCTACAGAGAAGTTGCAGCATACAAGATCAAAGTGGAATGATCATGTAAGTTTTTCCCTAAATAGTGGTTGCAGAAAAAAATACAGAAAAGTTTGCTGGGCATAAAGATACGATGGCAAACTGACAGATTAGTATGTTGACTGATTGGTTGTGATTTATTAAGACTGGTTCATACTTCTCCGCAGAATTGCAACACTCGCGTATCCGTTCCATCTATGCATACACAGAAATGTTATTATTCTGATGTTCCCTGCACACGTACCACAGCAGTGAGGGTTGTGTCCGCTTCTCCATTTTTTACAAATTCAGAGAGCCAGCTCACAAGGCTGCCAACGTTTCATATTTCTAATTTACATGTATGTAACAGTTTTATTATATAGTCTGTAGGGTTTTCAAGTTACCCCAATGCTCGTCAAATGCATCCATTATGGTATCTAAAGTGGACGCTAGCGAATGGATCGTGTGCAGTGTGTCCAGAGCTGTGCAGACACAAATTTGGAGTGCGGCAGGCTTTCGTCTGTGGAGACGCACAATGATGTCAAATGCATCGTAAATGTTCGTGCGGACAAGTATGAACCAACCTTTACAGAACGCTGAGAAGCTGCATCCGAGGTTGCCTTGAGTTTAGCATTAAAGAAATACAGTTGTTCCGCAATGAATGGTGTGTTCGTTTTTCTCTCGGAACTCTCGGAAATTCCGAGTTGAGTGGCATCACGTCCGACAATCTCCCGTTCGAGCTACCATATCTCGGAACAAACATGGCTGCCTCCATGAACACGCTGCTGTGTGTTGTTGCTTTATATTTTAGCAGATTTGGAGTGAGATTATTTTTTCCGAGAGACAAACAAGAAACACGAACTAGTCAAACCACATTAAAAGCTTTATAAAATATTTTAGCACATTCATATCGATATTCTTTTTTCGAGATGCAAACAAACTACAAACAAACCAAAGACACTAACAAGTCTGGTAAAAATCTGATATTGCATGATAGGATACTGTTTACGGTCATGATATGGTATTCTCTAAATCGCACACGTGCAGTTACATTTATAACTATTAATACATTTAACAAAGTAAACCTATTTTATAAATCTTTAAAAATAATTACTGTTGAGTGTGTAAGCTGCCAGTTACGTCACAGGGGCAACTTGGACAACAAAATCTTGTCCGACATCAACGTTATCACGCCCAGCTCCGTCCGATCCTAATGTGTGCCACGCCCACCTCGTTACCTCCTGTTTCTGCCTGATTGTTCTCACCTGTTGCTCGTTACCCTTAGCTCGTCTTTTGTATTTAGTCCTCGTCTGAGTCAGTATTCCCCAGATTTGTCATTGACGTTCGTCCATGTGCTTCCCCCGGTCCTGTCATCCGATTAAAACCCCGTTTATTTGACTTCCTGGCTCCTTTTCCCTGCTTCCCTGCTCGCCTTCTTGCCGTGATGTGACAAACACCATAAAAGAGGCGTGTTTCCGACGAGAAGTGACATTTTATGTGATGTTTCGTGACGTTTTCATCCGAGTTCTGACTTGGAGAGAAATAATCGAACGCACCAGAAGTGTATCAGCTTGATCTCCTTAAAACTGTGTGGAAAAAGGACCCCATATTCTCATATAATTAGGAGTCACATTCAGATGCCTTTGCAAATGAACAACTCACACAGAACTGTTACAGGGAGGATTTATTTATGATTCAGAACCATTTTTGTCATTTACGATATTATTCATTAGGGAGGTAATAATTCTCCAAATCTGCAGTTCAGTTCAGACCTCAATCATGGTTGGACCAAAATAGTCACGTGACACACACACAGTTGGAAGACAAAAAAAATAGGTGTAATGTGTGAAATTTACGAAATGTACAGTTTGCCCTAACTAAATGCAATAATTTTGTGATTTACATGTGTTGATGTTAATTCTGAAATGAAAAATGAGCTTCATAACATTAGTAAGACAGTTGAGAGCAGCGTTAAATCTTCTAGAAACGCGACTCAAAATTGTGAACATTTGTATTGTGGTTTTCAGTCTTCAGAGCTGTTACACCACTATCATTCATGTATGTTGGTGAATGGTATAGGTCTTTGGTGCTTAATGCATCTTTTTGATTGTAGGTCCACTGGGGGACACGGCTCTAAATTTGTGGAGTCTGCTGCTTCCATAGTTCAAGAAGAGGACTCTGCCACTGGAAATTTTAAGACTGGGCTGGAAGCTGGTGAAACAGAAAGTGGTCTAGAACAGCCCAAACCTCCTGAAAGTCCTTCTCCTGTGAAGCAGTGGGTAATTGGTCCCTTGTTGCAGACATTCAAATCGAAGATGGCAAGTTTCACCGAAATCGTTATGACTCCGGTCAGGTTTTTCAAAACGAGCCCTTCGTCCTCGGCCTGCAGCGACAACCCAGTTCTCACGAATCCCAGCGAGGACTCTGATGGCTACTCAAGTGCCCACAAAGGACTCCATTCAGAGCAAAAAACTGAAGGAGAGCAGAAAGGAGCAGAGAGCAGTATCAAAATGTTGACCAACAAAGAACTCCAAAGAGAGATCAGCACAGGAATCATAAATAACTGCTGCACAGATGGAGAACTGAACTGTGTTGTCCGCAGGTCGTCTGCAATACAGAGATTAAACTTTGTGGCAGAGGCCAATGTCCAAAGCTCTGTTCAAGAGCAGGATTTTGCCCTTTTTGATGAACAGAACAGTGATGGTGTTGCTGTGTATGAAATAGATGGTCTGAGGGATTCTGATGACCAAGTAGCTTCTGTTAGGCAGGGTGAGCAGGAGCTTCATTCAGATCTCTGTCTACAACATAGATCTGGTGCGGAGAAAGGGATAGATTCCCGGGTGGATTCCTCTTCTGAGAATTCCTGCAACACTAGGCTCAGTTTATCCTTAAACCCTGGCACACCGGAGCAGATGGAGGCATGTATTCTGTTGAGAAGGTTGGACCGTAAACGTATGCTTGAGCTTGACTCCTCTCCTGAAGGTCCTCGCAAACGGTTGCCTTTGTCTGCTGTGGAAGCCGGTTTGGTTTTTTCAGAAGTATCATCGGTCCTCTCTGAGCTGAGGGAGGGGCATACCCTCAAAGATTCCTCAGGGCCTGTAACTCATGAGACAGTTATTAGCGTGGAGTCTGATCACTTAACACCCTTAAAGTATTACACACCCCCTGATTCTCTCAGACTCTCTGAGGTTGAGGAGGCAGGTGTTGGACAGCTGAAATTCTTGGACAGTGTTGAAGATAGGCAGCCTTCAACCTTAACCATCTCGTGGGACCAGAACAACACCGATACTGAAAGAAAGGAATGTACAGCTTCTCTTTCCTCACCGAGAAAATCCTCTATATGGCCAGGAAATATGAGTGGACCCTCTGTTCGAAGCCAAGCAGAGGACAAGCTGCAGCTAAATCACCTAGAGGTTTTGGCCTGCCCTCTACTCAGTCCTTTACTGAAAGGACCTTCTTCCACCGAAGAAAAAGTTGGAACAGAAAAATCTTGGCGAGTCCAACCTGAAGAAGATCAAAAGGCAGATTGCAGAGGAAACATAGCAAAGCAAGTTAAAGACAATGAGAAATTACTGGAAAAACATGCTGGAGAATTGTTAAGTGCCTCAACTGCAGATGTCAGAACAGTGAGACAAGTGCAGAGGAGAAGCAAAAGGATGTGTCATGTCAACGTTGAGTGTCATAGGGTTAAGGGCGATGCTGTCATAGTCGGCACACATAAGCAAACTGCCTTGGGAAGTGGTAGATCTGAATCTCAAAGAGGAAGAAGAGCACATAAAGGTTGGAGTATAACAAGAAAAAAACAAAAATCTCCTGTCACAGAGGTGGTGACTTCCACCAAGAAGCTCGCTGTTAGCTGCCCAAAGAACCTTCCCTCTGATCTTACAGACGGCAGTGTTGGTAACAGTGGGTCTGACCACAGTATCAACAGGAATGTAACCAACAAAAGTAATTGTTGTAATAAAGGTAAATTATTGAGGTGTCCAGAGCCGCCTAATGTTGCCAGAGCTGACTGCAGTCCATGTACCTCGGAGGTGTTCACACCATCTTTGACGGATTGTACAAAAGCGTCGTGCTCGACTCAGGTCTCCACTACAATGACTATCACGATAGCGAGGGAAAAGGAGGGTGCAATGGTCCGCAGGGGTATGTCAGACAGCATGTGTCCCCAGGTACCAAACATGAGAGATCAAGGTTCAAATCCAGACATTGAGATGGGTCTCACTGCAAATTGTAAAGAGAGTCAGGTTGTGCAAAGGGACCTTGACTATGCTCTACAGGCAAACAATTTGATGGAGGTGAGTAAGGAGACTGATGGTGACCAAGCAGCGGTAAATTTAGGTCAGCAGAGAGCTAGGAAACGAAAACTTAAGACCCTTTGTAGTGCAACAAAGGGACCTAAAAAGTTCTCTAAAGGACTGAGAGGGGCTGATGGGGGCAGGAGTCAGGTTGTGGGCATGGGGCGGCAGATGGCACAATCAGAAGGTTTAGAGAAAAACAGCGAGATTGAAGGAGGAACACTGGAGAGTAGAGATTCCAGTGCTACAGAACTTCATCCAAAAGAGGCAGTTGGTCAACACCTTGGTAAAGATTCAAGTTCATTCAATACAATGGCAGCACCAAAGAGCCCTTTCAAGAACTTCTCACCATTTACCAGCTCTCTAACCCCATCCGATGACCCACTGATGGCAAAAGATAAGTCAGTGGATGGGTGCACCTTGCGTGTAATGGCTGACCAATCGGACAATGGGACTTCTGCTCCAACTGTGGGTGGCTTCTCACCATATTGTGAAGAGGAGAAAAAGGCTTTTTGTGCTCTTCACCTGGCTGCCTCAAATGTTTTTGTGAAGCTCGAGAGATTAGAGATTGTAGAGAAGAATGCCAGGGAGGAGGAAGAACCAGGGATTGTGACCGGCTCCATTGCAAGTGGTTCAGTAGAGCCGAGAAGAGGGCATGGAATAAAGACTACAAGGGAGCAGGAGGGGAGTGACAGTGCCAGGGTGGTGGGGCAGCAGCGGAAGGAGGCTGGTCTACCGAAGGC